AAGCGGCCGTCGTTGTGGCAGTGATGGAGGAAGAGGAGGAGGAAGGGGAGGAGTGAGGGGTGGTAAGGTCGGTGGCGTCGATGTCGGCTGGGGAGTGGTTAGTGGGTGCACAAGGTGGTGGATTGGGAGTGGGGCTCGGTGGAGTGGGTGTGTCAAGGCTGCGGTCAATTCCGCTCTCGTGGATGCGCATGTGGTCGAATAGACCCATGCGATGAGTGAAGGTGCGAGGGCAGTGTGGGCAGTGGAGGCGAGTGCGGCGGGTGTAGGTTGGTGCTCCAGGCACTGGTTCGCCCGTCTCTGTGCGATGGATTCGCAAGTGACCGACCAGGCCGATGTGTGAGGAGAAGGTGCGGTCACAGTGAGGGCAGGTGTAGTCCTGATCCTCATCACTGGAATCGGGAGGGGTGGGGGGTGGTTGCGGTTGTTGTGTCGTGGTTGGCGATGTGTGAGACGGCAGCCTGAACGGCCACCGCTGGGGCAGTGGAGGAGAAGGAGGAGGATGGAAGTGGTGGTGCAGAAGGAGTGTCAGAGTTAGTTGGCGGAGGAGATGACGAGGAAACGGCGGGCTGGGGGACGATGGCTGGAGCAGTTCGAGAGGTGCAGTTGGTTCGAAGATGTCCAACAAGTCCGATTCGTGCCCGGAATGTCCGTTGACATCGAGGACACGTAGGGAGAGGTTGTGCGGCGGCGTTGCGTATTGGGCGAAGTTGTGATTTGCGGGCTTCGCGTTTCACTTTGGCGGCGGCGATGTGGTTGGCTTCATAGATAGCAGCGCCCGTCTTCACTGTTCTCCTCCATGTCGGACGATCGCGAGCGAGCTCTTCCCAGTTGGTCGGGTTGATTTGCAGGCGCTTCAGGGAGGACTTCAAGGTATCCTTGTAACGGCGAATTTGGCCTCCTTGACGACAAGAACCCGTCGCAACGTCTCCGTAGAAGAGTCGTTTGGGAAGTCGCTCATCGTCCATGCGCACCAGGTGGCCGCTCCAGCGCAGCTGCATTTGTTTCAGTATGGCGTAGATGCTGAGGATTCCCGTTCGTTCCAGTACTTCCGTGTCGGGGATGCGGTCCTGCCAGTTCAGCCTCAGGATGCAACGGAGACAGCTGAGGTGGAAGTGGTTCAGTAGGCGTGCCTGCTTCGTGTTCACCGTCTAAGTCTCCGCTCCATACAGAAGCGTCGGCAGGATGACGGCCTTGTACATCTTTAGCCTCGTGCTCAGTTGGAGGCCATGACGATTCCAAACTGTGCTTTTGAGGCGGCCGAAAGCTTAACTGGCTTTCGATATCCTGTTGGCGACTTCGTCATCTATCATGGTGTTGCGGGAAAGGGTGCTGTCCAAGTAAGGGAAGTTCTCTACCATTTGCAGTTGAGTCCCATTCACGTTGATTTGCGGCGGCGCGTTGGGGGCTGTGGCTGAGTTGGGAGGCGGCTGATGCATCACCACCGTCTTCTGCGTGTTGATAACCAGCCCAAAGTTCTCGCAGGCGGCGGAGAATAGGTCCATGATCCGTTGCATCTCCTCTTCCGAGGTGGTGTTCAGGACGCAGTCGTCGGCGAAGAGGAGTTCGTGCATGGTGGCTGTGGATACACGCGATTGGAAGTTCATGCGCCGGTGATTCAGGAGATGACCGTCCTTTCTATAGGCGATGGGGATTCCAGGGCGTTCGTCGCGGTAGGCGTCCATCAGCATGGCAGAGAACATGAGACTGAAGAGGGTAGGCGCCAGCACACAGCCCTGCTTCACTCCGTTGGTCACTGCGAATGCCTCTGAGACAGCTCCGTTGTCCGTGACTCGCGCCATCATACCGTCGTGCAGCTGACGCACCATCTGAGTGAATCGCTCCGGACAGCCGAATTTCTGCATGATCTTCCACAGTCCTTCACGATTCACCGTGTCGAAGGCTTTTGTCAGGTACACGAAGGTAGAGTACAGGTGGATCCGCATCTCCTGACACTTCTCCTGAAGTTGGCGGGCTGCGAAGATCATATCCGTGGTCCCACGATGACGACGGAAGCCGCATTGGCTTTCCGGCAGAAGGCCCTGCTCCAGATGGCTGTTGAGGCGGTTGAGCAGGATGCGAGCGAAGATCTTCCCGGCGATGTGTAGTAGGGAGTTGCCGCGGTGGTTGTCGCAGACTTGGCGATTCCCTTTTCGCTTGTATAGGTGCACGATAGTTGCGTCCTTGAAATCTTGCGGGACTTCACCTTGACGCCACATCTCCTGGAAGAGCGCAGTCAGGTGATCCATCAGTAGGGGACCTCCGTGCTTGTAGACCTCAGCAGGGATTGCGTCCGATCCGGGTGCTTTCCCGCTGGAGAGCTGCTGCACGGCCCTGATGGTTTCTTGGAGAGATGGCGGGAGGTCGATGTCCGCGTTGGTCTCCACTTGCGGCAAGCGGGCGATGGCGGCGTTGGAGATGACGGAAGGGCGGTTGAGGACGCCTCAAAAGTGCTCGGCCCATCGCTGTAGGATTTGCGTCTTCTCAGTCAGGAGAGTGCTGCCGTCGGCGCTGAGGAGAGGAGCAGTGCCCTTCGTCGGCGGACCGTAGACAGCTTTGATCGCGGAGAAGAAGTTCTTCCATTCGTTGCGGTCCGCGTAGCCTTGGATCTCCTCAGCTTTGCGAGCAGTCCAGGCGTCCTGCATCTCGCGCAGTCGTTGCTGAAGCTGTCGGCGACTGCGGTAGAAGGCAGCTTTGTTGTCCTCAGTGGGG